CGAAGCATATTTCTAAATTGTTTTGTTCAAAGTCTTACAGAATCTATAGTATTAAACTTTGGACAATATGGTAATAAATAAAGTTCGAAGTTTCTTTGCGTACAATTTAGAACCCTATCAAGTGTATATCGCAACTTTTTGATGATGTAAGTATATAATAAATGTAAATTCTATGATAATAAGATATACCTTTCCTTTATTTTATTAGTTAAATAATTAGTAAATTATATTTCTTTATATTTTATTAATTTTGAATTATAATCTCCTTATAACAATTGAACTGAATTGAATTATGGTTATGTTTAAACATCCACACATTGAATTATATGCATGTGTATGATTAAAAAGTTTTAAATTTTGCATTTAAATTGTGTAGAAGCAACGTTTTTTTCAAGTAATTAAGTTTTCCATGGTATATTTAAATTTTACTTTATGAACAATAGCTAAATGGTTAAAAAATATGCAAGATATATATTTTATAGCATAAATTAATATATTTTGAATGTAAGATAAGATTTCACAAATAAAATGGACGACTATGTAAGAAATTGTCGTGACAAATATGTATACTCTATAATCAATATTATTTTTCTCATACTTATTATTATAATTTCAAACTACTACTTTTCATTTTTATCGAAATAATATATTTGTCCTTTTTTGCAATATGAAAAGCATAACCGCATATAATCGAATAAAAAAGAACATATCTACTAATTACAATGAATTTATACTCTTCGTGACACGCAACATTTTCTTTCCATAATGTAAATTCACGTAAATTCACGGCGAACAATTATTGATTAAACATGTAATCCTTTCAAAGCAGTTGTAATAGCAAGCTATTCATTAAAAATTTTTTTTAAGTTCTATTGCACATTCAATTCATGGACAATACAACAATGTACTACCCATTCGTGAAAGTACACTGCGTGCTATCGCAAAATAATAAGGCTGAAAAAAGACTGATAATGGATGCTTTCTATTTGATGACACAAATCGACACAATCATCATCCTATTCTTCTTTTTATTACATGAATAACAAAGACAGGATAGTGTTTGTATGGCAGCGAGCGGATTAATTAAATATGTCATATACAGTTTGGAATCGGATACACTGATTCTTTTTGTTACATAATTACTGATAAGGAAAGGGATCCAACTGTCCCCTTCCGATTTTAATGAGTGTTTAGTAATTAATGAGTTTTCAGTCTAAATATTTTTTTTATCTGTTACAGTACTGGCGATATTCGCTTTGAAAGAGAAAAATCAATTTTTTTCTAAGAGATGTTAACTAAAAATGCGTATGGACACGTATAAAAAAATACGTTACGTGAATATTTAACATTTAATAATATATAACATTTAATATGCTCAAAACCATGAATAATAATAATAATAAGTATATTACTAACAAAGTACAGTATAATAATTTTTTGATCGCAATAACTATAGTAGATAACATACTTATATTTTTGTATTAGAAAAATAATTTTAATATTACAAAATTAAAATTAAAAAATTAAAATTAAAATTAAAAGTATTGTTAATTTCTATATTTGAATATTCTAAATCAGTGCTTCTTTTCGTTTCTTCGCAAATTTGAATTACAATTCGGTTATCATTTTAATTATTTTCCTTTAATCAAATGAACTATCAGAATCTAAATCTGAAAACAGAAAAGATTTTAAGAAGAATTTTTCAAGTTATATAAAAAACTATAAATAAGAACTTACAAAAAAATTAAATTATTACGCAAAAGTTTTATTCTAAATCTCGTATGTTTACACCCAAATTTCTTGTTTCAAATAGAGAATCTGTAATATCAAACTTTCACAATATACTGATGAATAAAAGTTCGGACTTTTTCTACATACAACGTAGAACTTCACAATCGTACGAATCAGTCATACAAAATCATAGTTTAGATGCGATTAAAATTGTCGCTCGTATTTTTGTATTTGTCTAAAAGATCTGTCGAAGATTAATAAAGTTAATTATTTTATGTGATTACACATTCAAACTTAATACATATATACATGTATCAAAAGTTAATAAACAAAAGTAATTGTAATGTTAGAATGACACAGAGTTATTGTTCATCAAATTATCCAAAATTTTAAGTAAAATATTTTTCTAATTTTTATATATCCACACTGAAAAAAATTTCTGATTAAAAATGGAATCAAAATTATCTGGTTAAATTTACTAGAATTCTAATTAAGGTAATCGGTGTTCTGATTGATACAATATTTCTGGTAAAAATATACTAGAATCTTTATTTTTATATCAGAATAATTATGTCAATCCGAATTCCAGTCATCTCAATTAGAATTCAAGTAAATTCAACCAGAAAATTCAAATTCGGCCATTTTCCAACAAAATTACTATTTAATTGAATCAGACGATTTTTTCACAACCCATTATAATCAATATTTATTTATATGTTGCGATACTATATTTATCTCACTACTTATAAATAAAACTTAATTTATTCTTATCAATATGCGAAAAAAAATGTGATTAAAATATGTTATCGAATAAAAAAAAAAACCAATTAAATTGAAGTACTTTCAATGGCTTCCATGAAACTTTTCTTACAATATCTGACATAGGATATTCACTCAGACTTCGAGTTACGATATTGTTGCATAGTTTCTTTTCCATACATAATATTTACGCATCGACAATATAATGTTACCTATCAATAAGAGTTACAAAATCGAGGTACTGGAAATGTTAGAATTTGACATTACTTTTACTTTTAATAATTTGATCAATGACAGCGTTCATAATACAATGTTTTCTTTGCAAATATGTTAGAAATTTTCTTCATTAAAGTAAAATTTATATTTTTTTAGATCTAAAAGTATAATCTCCAATCGCACATCATAAAGAAAATTATCAAATTGCAAAATAAATTTACTAAATAAATTTACTAAATAAATTTATTGGATTCTTGGAATTAAAAGTATGATATTTCAATAAAAAAAAATCGATGTGATCTTAGTGACGCCACGTAAGGTTAAATATGTTGATAAGATAAGTACATAGATCTTTTCGAATTTTACAACTTTTGTCTGATACTTTTGTCTCATAACTCACACTTTTCTGTAATACCTTTTATATTCCGAGATATTCTTCTTCCTTTGTCTTTTATTATTGACGAGTCCCAAATGATTTTGGAATACTGTATCAGGTTGCTCCTCCCTCTGATGAAGTGGACTGTACGGTTCACGAAACATTGGCATTCCAAGAATGGATCTGGACCCGGAGGAAACCCGCGAAACGTTTATTGATTAACAATAAACAAATAAATAATAAATTTGAATAATAAATTTGAATAATAATTTCACCAAATTATTCAAAATTTTAAACAATATATTTTTCTGATTTCCATGTATTTATTTTATAACATTTTCTATATTTCATGATACTTTTATCATCACTTATAAATAATAAAACTCTACTCATATATATTCATACTTAATTAAGATGCAAAAAAAACATGACTAAAATACAATATATTATCGAATGAAAAATCTGTTATATTGAAGCACTTTCACGAATCTTTCCTTACAATGTTCACGCAATATTCACTCAGACTTCAAGCAATAGAAATTCTCAACGAGCAAATGTATCGATTAAATATATGCCCCTTTCAGAGCAAGGGTACTTTGGACTGAGTATATGGACTGACGTTTTTTTTTATGTACCGAGTAACCAATCAGAAACAATCCACGTTTTATGTTATATGGAATTGAATGTGATTATTGGTTACGCGATACACATTACGAAGAAAATATCGGTTCATGTGAAAACCCTTTTTAATGTCAGACCGATCACCAAACTCTTCTGAAGATTGGCGCAGGCGCTTCATTATATTACAGTACAATGAATTGTCTATCCATGACAGTATACTGTGTGCTCTCGTGCAGTGATCATGTCAAATTCAAAACATGCGCCAGGAAGAAAAATATCGGAAAAACATATCGATTACAGTTTACAACTTAATCAATGGATTCTCAAGTCAATCGGAGCCTGGCCACAAATAAGTGCATCGAGTTCATTGTACAAAATTATAATATTACTACAAATTTTCATTTGTTTAAGCATAATAGTAGTCCCCACAATACCGTGTAT